CCTCAATGTGGCAAAATCAATGGAACAGGTGCACTACCCAACTAAAGTCTATCCAACCAAACATTTTAGGCCCTAGAATTGTTACAATGGAAAGAAAATCGAAGACCATCATTAGAAGGCTCAGAATTGGGCACACTCGGCTAACCCACGGATATCTGATGGTTCCCGAAGAACCTCCAAACTGCCAATATTGCAACTCCCGTTTAAGTGTACACCACATACTTGTGGAATGTAACCAGTACGCAGCAGCACGGATTAAACATGGTATCCACGGAAGTTTATGTGACATTTTAAAATCTAAAAACAATATGTGTAATGTGATAGAGTTCCTTAAAAACTGTAAATTATATCACCTGTTGTAATTGTAACATCTATCTATATTTCAATTTTGTAACCATCCGCTAGTTTTTTCTTTAGTTTTTTTTTGATATCATCTGTATTGAAATTTATTGACTTAATGTAACTTTATTGTTATTCTGTAATACAGTTCCTCGTGTTACTGGCCGCAGCAGCCGAGACATGTAATTTGAAATAAAAAAAAAAAAAAAAAAAAAAGATCTAAACCCCCTTTTTATGAAAGACTTAATAGACACATGACCAGCAATAATATTGTCTTCCCTAAATTATACCAAACCACCCTTTTAACCTTTCCTCCTTGGATGGTCAGAAAACACTTCCTAGTCTTGACTTTAACAATGACTAGTAATCAACTTAATGCTTTATATATGGTTAATCAATAGGAATATACAACCAAATTTAAACATCAGTGTGTTTACTAATACATGTATAATCTTTTAATGTTTGTATGTCAAAATCGGTATAGGTATATTATTTATCCAAAAAAGGTTAAAAATAAATTTTAATACCAAGTGGCGCTAATAACCACTTAGGTTGATGCGCCTGAATTGTAAATAAAAAAAATGTTATCCTTGCGACTTTGCTTTGCAATACTCGGTTTATTACAAAATTAAACTTAAAAACTCTAACAAATGGATCCTAGAATATTTCCCACTTTAGTGATTAGCGTTCAAACAGGTACGCAAAAGGTTGCTATTGCTCTGACCAATTAAAAATACGGCTAACAACCTACCATTACCAAGTACGTCAAGTTACAAAGAATCAGATGGTTGGAACATGTGGAAAGAATGGCAGCAAACAGAATGCCTAAGCTAGTAATAACCTGAAAACTAATCGGCCCCAAAAGAAGAGGTAGACCCAGAACGAGGTAGATTAGTAAAGTGGAGTAAGACCTTAAACACGTGAAGGTGACGGACTGGAAAAGAAAAGCACAAAATAGAAACGAATGGAGAAATATTCTCCACCAGGTCCTTCAGAATAGTTAAGAATGTTGTACATACATATTTAAGTTAAAGATTTGTTTAAAATAATTGTAATTAGTTAATATTAGGATTATCTTTTTATAAAATGCCCTAGGCCTTGACAGCCTGTTGTGCGTAAAAATAAATAAACTAGAAACGTAGAAAAATAAATGCACTAGAAAGTGCGTAAAACTAGAAACTTTGGATGTTACGATTGCTTCAGTCAAAGCTATGATACGATCATTTTTAATTGACAATTTTGGCCCCACTTCGCCCTAAATCGCTCAAAACACAAGGAAGACGCCCGTTTAAAAAAAATTAAAAGCAAAAAAGCGTTTATTTTTGGAGTTTTGAGTACTAATTTTTTATTTTTTGTTCATTTTGCAATGGAATGTTGCAAATTGCATTTGCAATGCAAAGGTTTTTTATTTAAATTACATGAAGAATTTATTTAATTAATTAGAGAAAATATAATGGGATTTTTTTTAATTCAGTTATCTTTTGTCTTATTAGGATTATTTGGATTTTTATAGCTAGGAGCTCGCCTACTAGCTCGCCTATTAAGACATCTACGGAACGCCTACGGAAAACTCTACGAGAGTATAGGAAGTCAGCTATATTTGCTTTTATAAGTATTATATAGGTATATTATTTATTTATCTACTTAAAATTTTTACTACCTGGCAAATTGTTAGCCGAGCTTCATAAAAATGTTGGCAATTCAAGCTATTTTAACGTTATAAACACTTTTGATATATATTTTACACTTGATACATCGAAAGAAATTGTCAGCTTTTCAAATTAAAGCCGCTAAAAACGAATCACCATAGCAAATTTATACGATTACAAAAATGTAAATACTAGAAATAAAAGTAATTTCATTACAATTTTGACGTAGGGTCCGCAAAGGTTAAAGTAGAATTAACGTTATCGCGAACGGGATAACTTTACGAAAATTATAGCTGAATGGATTTAGATTTAGAATGTTCCGTAATTTTTATTACTTGTCCTTATCGAATACCATTTTTACGAAATCAGACTCGGGTTGTTCCTTAGGGATCAATTCGTATTTTTTGCTGCTCTCAGCATTTCTCAGTTTCAAATTCGAGCTTTATTTATGGCAGTTTTAACGAGTTTTTACATTATTTAATACATTTTATGATGTATGAATAGCACCATCTGTTTTTAAACGTGGCAAAGTATCAAAATATTATATATATATATATATATATATATATATATATATATATATATATATAAATATATATATATCAAATCATGAATTTGTTGCTTGTGTGAGTCCATTTCAAATAGGTAAAGAAATAATAAATCAGACTTACTCACAATCAATTTAATTTAACTATCCGACGACCGGTTTCGCTTTCTACAATATGCAAAGCATCTTCAGGTCTCGGTACAAAGTTAAACAAATGATGCCGGTACTCTATCAACAACAAAAAACTCATTGTGCCCAAGACTATGATGTAGTGCTTTAAAGTCCTTCCCCTTTTAAATTCAATGTTTGTTTCGTCCCTTCTAAGTGTTTTCTGTTTTTAGTGTGTTTAAATTATCCCTAAGTGTTTGTATTTTACCATTTTATTCATTTTATTCACTTGACCATTCCAATAATTAACTCATTGCCAATAGAACTTTATCAAAGTAATTTGATAACTACAAGTTTGGAAATAATTGCACACCCACACAATTTTACATCTACACTTATTCATTGTCATAAATGTCACCTTCATAAAACAATTACTCAATAAATAACACACATTTTAAAAATATATCTCTGGAATAAGTATAAATAACTTTTAATAACACAATAATATATTACACCACTTACATTTAACAAACAATCTCACACACATCTCAAATTCATTGGATCAAATCTACCTCCTCAGGAACTTCCCGTTTACTGTCAAACAACTGCAATAATAGTATTGAGTTCTCCATTCAACAATATACAGTAGTTTCAAACATGTTCTACCATCCATCTATTAATAGAGTACCGGCATCATTTGTTTAACTTTGTACCGAGACCTGAAGATTGTAGAAAGCGAAACCGGTCGTCGGATAGTTAAATTAAATTGATTGTGAGTAAGTCTGATTTATTATTTCTTTACCTATATATATATATATATATATATATATATATATATATATATATATATATATATATATATATATATATAATTTCTTTTCAGGTTCTGTCGGTCTGTAATTTAAATATTTCTAGTCAACTGATTGTTTGCTTCATCAGAAGTGCACTACAAATTTATTAAAATAAAGAGATAAGCAATATTACGATAAAATTATATAAATATTTACTCACAAAGGTGGAACCGTTCACAAAAACAAATGAGACAAACATTTGTAGTAGGGTGGGCCGATTTTGATATTCAATATTAATAAAACAAAAATTATTTTGAACTGCCACATAAATGTCAAAAATCTAAATTTTTATATTAAAAATATTAAATTTTGCATTTTACCACATTGTTAAATAATTAAAACTAAAAGTTTTTTTACAATAAAGTTTTTGTATATTTTTAATATTTCAACTGCCACAAGGACATTATGTTAAAACTAAATTATGCGATCATTACGTGAAGCGACGCCACTGACTTTATCGATTTCAGACCAAGAAGTATTCTTTCATTTGGGAATGAATCAATTTTCAACTAACAACCGCGTAATACAGTCGTATTAGTCGTCATATCTCTTGATGTTTTACGTCGTAATATAAGTTTGTTTATATGTTTATGTTTACCGATAAAATGGCGCGTAACACCAGAAGTGAGTTAAAATGTCCTATATTTGGAGCGTCCAATAATATAAACGAAACAGTTTTACCAACATATGAAGATATGAACACTTACTTCAACTATGTTGAACATGAATTAAAACCGATTGCAACAAATCCACAACAAACCGCAACTGAGACAAGTCAAATTGCAGCAAAGAAAATTCAGGTAATTTGGAGTCGTTGCGTGCTTCAATTCCAACCATTCAGCAGTGCAGTATTATAAAGCGAATAACAAGTTATCGTCTTAAAATTAGAAATTTACTAAAACCTTATAAACAACGCAGTGGTGTTGCAAGTTATAAAAAACAGTTATATGATTTCAGAACATAATCCAAAGTACTATTTGATGTGGCTGCTTGTCCTCAATGTTTAGAAGACCAAAGACCATTTTTAGAAGACCAAAGAACTCAAAGACGAATGGTAATTGGTGTCAATTACAAAACAATCAATTGAGAATGTTGTTCATTTACCGCAAAAACCGATCTCGGCAGAAAAGACTAGCGACGGAAACACTTACACATGAATCGATCAGAAACTTCTACTGTGCAGCAAAAATCATTAGCTTCCTATAATTTGGTACAGTTACCTGTTCTTGCAAGAACACTCAATCGTTTTGGTATTTTTGATCGAGCTTGTGCTGCAGTCGCTTCAGCAGTGCTAGAAGACGTCGATATTATAAATATGGAAGATAAAAGCAACATTATAGATAAGAACAAAATTCGTCGTGCTAGAACAAAAAAAATGTGCCCTTCTTAAAATGTACGATTCTTCACAGTTACGTGGCTTTTTTCGATGGTCTCAAGGATAATACATTAAAAATGAAATATATTCGTCGAAAGTTAATTCGAGAAGAACATATTACAATCTTAAAAATGCCTGAGTCGACTTATATGGCGCATGTTACTCCTAATTCTGGTACAGCTGTGAACATTTTAAAAAGCACTTTAAAATATTTTGATGACTCTGATGTATCCACAGATGTCTTAAGAGTAGTAGGGTATGATAGGACGAATGTTATTATTTTTAAGTTTAATGGTGTTATTGTGCAATTAGAAAAACATTTAAATCGCCCGTTGCAGTGGCTTATTTGCCAGCTGCACTGTAATGAATTACCTTTGCGACACCTTATGAATTTCCTTGATAGTAGTACAACTGGACCTCGTCACTTCAACGGACCTATAGGACAAGCACTCATTGGATGTAAAAAACTACCTGTTGTTAAATTCAGTGTAATTGAATCATATGTACAGGAGAATGTGGATAGGTCTGATTTAAGTACAGATCAACAATATCTTCTTGACATGTGTGTTGCAATCTCAGAGGGAAGTATTGACAATAAACTTTCTAAACGGTGCCCATGTAAAATAGTGCATTCCCGCTGGTTACCATTGGCTAACCGTATACTACGTTTATATGTTTCCACTGTGGTTCCATCAGATAATTTGATTACCTTAGCAACCTTTATTTTAAAAGTGTATGCTCCAGTATGGTTCCTTATAAAAACCAGACCGTCCTGTCTACATGGAGTCTTTAATTTTTGGAAAATGATTCAGTTACCTAGTTATTTACCACAACCCCTAAAGGATGTAATGGATCCAGTTCTATTGCGAAATAGTTTTTTTGCACATCCAGAAAATATGCTACTTGGAATGTTAGGAGATCCAAGAAAACATATTAGAGAGCTTGCTGTGCGCCGTATTTTTATAGCTCGAAAGAGTAACATAAACCAGCGACTACGAACATTTGAGGTACCACCTGTGCTTAATATGAACGCTATGGATTATATCATAAATTGGAGTACAATACCCTTAACTGAACCACCATTAACAATTGGAAGTTCGAATGAAACTTTACAGGAAATTGTGGTTAATCCGGAGACATCAGCACTGTTATCGGAGCTTAAGTTTTATCCGTCTCACAACCAAGCCGTTGAAGGCATGATTAAACTTGTGACAGAAGCTTCAGCAAAAGTTCGTGGTGCTGATACCAGAGATGGTTTGATTAGAACCAAACTGGAATTACACCGAATTATGCCTTATTTTAGGTCAAAAAAAGATTATAATTTATAAGAACAGTTATTCGTTTGTTTAATTTAAGCATAAAATTTATTTTTAATGATTGAATGATTTTTTTAAATATTAATGTAAATTACGTTGTGGCAGTTAAAATATTAAAAATAAAAACATGAATAATTAACAACATTTGTTTCATTCTTTGTATTATAACATTTTCGGATATGCAAGTTGTAACACTAGTAAAATTTTAAATTCAAAATTTTAGTGACCTTGTGGCAGTTCAAAACAGCAAAATGTGAAAAAATTTATTTTTACAAAAAAAATTGTTTTCCTACTCCACATGTTTATTTGGATTGCAAAATCTGAAATTAAAATATTTTTGAATTCAAAATTTTAGTTACCTTGTGGCAGTTCAAAACAGCAAAAGATGAAAAAATTTATTTTTACAAAAAAAAATTGTTTTCCTACTCCACATGTTTATTTGGATTGCAAAATGATTAAAATATTTTTTAATTTCGTATACAAATCGGCCTACCCTAATTTGTAGTACATCTTTTACCATTAGACGGACAATTTTGAAATAAGGTATAACATACATATGAAACAACAGAAAGTGTATAGTGGTATAGACGAGTTTCTTTGTATTTGTATATATAAAATAAAGTAGCAAATACATGGTCAATTAATTTTGAATTAAATGGATTGCAAAATATTGCTGTAGATGATGCTTAATTGACTCGTCTCTGTTTTGTAATTTACTACATTTATTGTTTTTTGTAATACAACACATTTCTAGAAACATTCTGTTTTTACAATTAGTTACTGTTTGTAGGATTTAAACATTATTATAGTCAAACTTCTGACCTGTTATGATGAAGTGTTCCACAACCTTGTACCAAAAATATAGAGAAATAGAACTAGAAATCATATATCTTAAACTCTCATGTAAGCGCATAAAATCAATATTTTAAATGCAATTTGTTTCAACTCGACTCATCGATATAAATTTATTTTTTTTATTGGAGTGTTCTGTCGACAAAAGTTAAAATGCAATTTAAAGGTAAAGAATTTAGCTCTCGTATGCAATTTTTGCATTTTGTTGCAAATCAAATCAGTTTCCATAAAGCTGTTAATGAAAACGTTGCGCGGTTTTTGCAATTTTTACGATTCTTAAGAAATCAATAAAATTTATTACTTCCATTAACTATGAAATATCTATTTCATAGTTAATGGAAGTAAGAACCACATCTTTAAAACCTACGTATACCATACAATTTACAACGTTTAAAACTCTTTCTTTTTGATTGCATACTTTTGCAAGTTAGTTCTTGGAAACTACAGAACTTCAGCTACAAATTCCAACTAATGCCGTCTTCGTGGAAGCATTTACCGTGACGTAAGATTGTTTGTAAGTAAAAGTTAAATTCATCGTTTTAGACATATTCCAAATGCCTTCCTCATATTTGATATCAAGATACAAAATCAAAATTTTGTTTTATTGGTTTTAAAGATTAGGCTATAGCAATGGAAATTTCACAGAGATAAATCAAAGGAGGCTGAGGTTAATAATCAAATACAAGGTGAGGTTAGGGTATTAAAACAAACAAAATTTTGCTACTTTATTTTTTCTAAAAACTTGTAAAAACAAAGTTTTAAAAGCAGTTAAGTAGGTTATTGTTTTTATATTCCATGAATAATAGACCGCAAAAAGCCGAGGATTACTAAAATATTTTAAGATATAATTTTGAATTTATAATGACCAATCATTTCCAAGATCTTGGTACTGATAAGAAGCAAATAATAGCATGCGACAGTTGCCGTGCAAGGATATACATTGCAGAAAAATGCTCTGGCTTGTCCACATCCGAAATACGGAGAATTATTTTGCAGATACGTCTACTTACGTACGTTTGCGCTACCTGTTGTGATGCATTTAAGAGTCTTTCCATGTTTGTGCGAAGACTTCACAAGCTGGAGGAAAAATTACCCAATGCATCCTGGGAGAATGATGAGTTTGGAGTAATGGTGCGTTGTCCTGCAGGTGATTCAGCTCTGAATATAGCTCATGCCTTTGGTTTTTAAAAATTGTATTTTCCAATATTAGGAACTTAGTATTTTTAATGCAAGTGATCTCCTTGTAGATTATAGCATCCATCATGTGGTTTATGGATGTTAATATATTACTATATTGGAATATAATTACTATATACATCTACTATATACATATAAATATACAATATAATTACTATATTGGAATTTCCCACCTAAGAGCTAAATGTAAACAATAATATTTGCTTCAGCAACTATATTAAAACTATACATACTGGCCTAAGAAATAATCCAAAATCATTTTGAAAGTATATGACTGATAAGCGATCTAGTCATAACCTACCTAACCACTTATTGTATCAAGTAAAATCTGCAACAAATAGTCAGGACATACCAAGCTTATTTATTTATTCTTTTCTGACTGTGTATTTACCAAATAACAACATTTACATACCTACACTCCATTAAATAGCAACTTTAGTACAAATATTTGTCCTTCTAAGATTACCAAGACCGATATTTTTAATGGCATAAATGAGCCTAATTTTTTATTAAAAAACACGAGTCTGTATACTTGTAATACAATTTTTTGTATTGTTTAACGGATCTCTGCTTCCTATTTTATGGAAACCTCAGTGTTTCCTATTTTATGGAAAGAAAGTGTTGTTGTTCCTATATTTAAAAATGGTAAGAAAGGCAATATTAAAAATTATTGTAGTATTTGTATACAATCTGCAATCCGTAAGCTCTTTGACAGTCTTATACAGAAGTAGAAAACTTCAAAATTTTTATATTGGTATAAAAACAATTAACTTAAAAATTGTTAAAAGTGTCGTCCAAAATTTGTAGATACATAAAGTTTTCGATCTAGCTCAGATCATACTCAGTGCCTTCTTTTGGTACTTGTAGCTAACACTAAAATTGCAGTGGAGACATCAATATATCGCTCATTTACCAGAACAACGTGATATCAGAAAAAGTACAATTTTACATGAGAGGACTTTTTAAGTTTCAAAAAATTAGAACCTGATAATGACTGAATTAATTTGCTTGAAATTGAAATTGGTCTATAGTTTAACTATTAACTATGAATAAAATTGGTCACTTTACCTAAATTTTATCATTACACTTATATAATTAAGACATGCAAAAAAAAGTAACTTATAGTCATATTCTTTCTGAAAATATAGAAAGAAATTAATGCAATTAATTAACTTGTAACATTGTAGATGATAAAATTTTCTGGTTTTAGGTTACTTAAATAAATAAAACAGGTGGTCTTCGCTATTTATTGGAAGTTATAAAATATTTTAAAACAAATGAATATGCTTAGAACACCATAAGTAAAAAAACTGCTGTGAAATGACATTAAGTAGATAATTTTTCGACTGTTGTAAAAACCATTCAAATTTCGTCATTTTGTGTCATGTGGAATAATTTCACCCAACCATGTCAACATTAGACTGATAGTTGCATTCAGTGCAATTTTCAATCCCTATGACAACACGATCGAGTTTGACAACTTCATCCAAATAAATTTTAAAATGTCACGTTTTGCAACGAATCTAATGTTAACTTAAATTTTAATATTTGTACTTTCACTAACTGTACTTTTAATAAATAAATGTTTCGTTATGTTGAGTTTTGATATAATGAAATATCCCTCGGACATTGATGAATGCCTCATAATTTCATGACAAATTTGTCAAGCTCGTTGCTTGGTAACAGCACTCAGCCTTCGGCTTCGTGCTGTTACCAAGGAACGACCTTTCGATTGTCATGAAATTATCCCGTCTGTTATCAATGTCCTAGGGATATTACTACTGATAATAGTATTAGTAAATAAACAATTATTAGTCACTTGATAAAACAATTTTGAGTGAAATTTAATGTTAAAAAATTTAATTTACTATTCTCAGATGGCATAGTAATGATACTCTAATTAAAATGTGAAACTTAAAACATTTATGGCACTTAAGGCTATTTTATCGGTGCACCAAAATTTTTTCTGTGTTATTTAACGACAAAATGTCTCGAAATTTGGACATGTTATTCGAAAATATGTTGCCTTTAAAATGAAGGTTTCACTTTTTTTATTTTTTTGAAACTTCTGTTGAAAAATTGGATTATACTGTTTAACGTTCTATTATAACCAAACTTTTTACGCCCATCACTTGAAAGAGTTTTTTTTTGTAATCATTGATTTTTTTTCACCTTTCTGTGTCCAGTAATAATCGAGAAAAGCGTAAGTATTCCAACTTTGAAAAAAATTTCTAAAAAATACTAAAATCTAATAGTGAAACGTGTTACTCATTATTGTCGCCGTTATCGCGTTCGTGACGTCAAATCTCATGAACGTACGGTACGGTCAGTTAGTTCGCTTGAATCAGAATCCATCTTCAGTTCTTCATTCTTGTATTTTCCTTATCAACTTGCTTAGTTTTTACAGTTTACAGTATTCTTATTTATTTTGAAACCATTGAAATTCTTTAGTTTACGGGTATGTTTAAGTAATATATTATTACTTTAGTGGTATAAGGTACTAAATAACTTCTTGAAATCATTTTAAAGCTATAACTGCGAAATTGTTTATTTGTTTGTGACAACCAATCGTAATTTTTTTGATAATAATATTCTTATGTTATTTTAAATTTATTATAAATAAACACCATGGTGTTTTTTGCAGTCACATTTCACAAATTTTTAATCAATACTGTAGTTAGCTAAGACATATACCTTAAGAATGTGATAATTCTTTTTAAAACATTATCTACGATAATCAATCTAAAAAAGTATTCCGACAAAACTAATTTGAATGAAGAATAATGCATTTATTGTCATTAAACAACCCGTGGGTCGGCGCCACTGAGTAAACATCGTAACAAGTTAACACTGCAGATTTTAAATTAGGAAGTCACGTAGGTCCTGGCGTAAGCAGTGTAAAAAAGTAAGTGATACGCCTACTTCAAATCGCAGTGTGCTTTAACTGCGAAAACAGCCTTAAG